AACATGGCATCCAAAACTGCCCATTCCTGCCTCACTCTGCGACCATTATGCAATCTGCAGAGTGATTCTGCGGCCGCATAGTGGGCCGCATAAATGTATTTTTCTGCCCAAATTTTTTCTTTACCCCCCAATGCATTGTTCAACCCAAACGCAAAAGCCTACTTCGGCACCATGAAACCTTAAATTCATTTGCAAAATTTTACGGGGCCTTACACTGACCAAGTCTGCCCACTTCATTCCGGTTGTGACTACTTATTCTTCAGAGCACCTGACTCAGATCTATATCCGTGAGATTATTCATCTACATGGTATGCTAGTGTCCATTATCTCCGATCGAGGCACGCAGTTCACATCACATTTTTGGAGAGCCGTGCAACGTGATTTAGGTACATGGGTTGAGTTGAGTACAACATTCCACCCCAACGGACGGACAATTCGAGCTCACCATTCAAATCTTGGAGGATATGCTACGCGCCTGTGTTATGGATTTTGGGGGTTAATGGGATCAGTTCTTACTGCTTGCAGAGTTTGACTACAACAACTATCAATCGAGTATTCAGATGGCTCCTTATGAGTCCTTATATAGGAGGCGGTGTCATTCTCCAGTTGGTTGGTTTAATCGGTAGAGGCTAGGTTTTTGGGTACTGATTTGGTTCGGGATGCCTTGGAGAAAGTCAAATTGATTCAGGATCGGCTTCGTACAACACAGTCTAGACAAAAGGGTTATGCTATTAGGAAGGCTCGTGATGTTGCATATACAGTGGGTGAGAAGGTGTTACTTAGAGTTTCGCCCATGAAGGGTGTGATGAGGTTCAGAAAGAAGGGCAAGTTGAGCCCTCAGTATATTGGTCCTTTTGAGGTGCTTGAGAGAAATGGAGAGGTGACCTACAGACTTGCATTGCCACCTAGACTATCGGGTGTTCACCCAGTGTTTCATGAATCTGTGCTCCGAAAGTATTATGGTGATCCGTCATATGTTTTGGACTTCAGCATGGTTCAGTTAGATGGGGATTTGACTTATGATGTGGAGCCGGTGGCCATTTTGGATCGGCAAGTTCGAAAGTTGAGGTCGAAGAATATAACATCAGTGAAAGTTCGTTGGAGAGGTCAGCCGGTTGAGGAGGCTACTTGGGAGGACAAGTGGGATATGAGGAGTAGATATTCACACCTATTTGAGACTCCAAGTATGATTCTAGATCCGTTCGAGGACGAACGATTGTTTAAGAGGGGGAGAATGTAACGGTCCGACTGGTCGTTTTGTGTATTATAGACCCATTTCCCTATTTATGGATTCTTCCATGCTCGTTTGTGGTTATGTAACTTGCCGGGGTGGTTTGTTTTGTTTCGGGGATGTTTTGGAGTGAATTGGGACACTTAGTCCCAAGGTTGGAAGCTTAAGTTGAAAAGGTTGACCAGAGTTTGACTTTTGTGTAGAAGACTCCGGAATAAAGTTTTTATGGTTCCGATAGTTTCGTATGGTGATTTTGGACTTTGCCGTATATCTAGATATTGATTTGGAGGTCCGTAGGTTGGGTTGAGGCTTTTTGGCGAAAGTTGTAAAGTTGAAGATTTGGAAGGTTGAGAGGTTTGACCGAGAATTGACTTTATTGATATTTGGTTTGGATTTCGGTTTCGATAGTTGGAATAGATCCTTTGTGTCATTTGGGACTTACATGCAAAATTTGAGGTAATTCGGGGTTTAATCGATATGTTTCGGCATTAGTTTTAGAAGTTGGAAGTTCATAAGTTTTATTAGGCTTGAATTGATGTGTGATTTGTGATTTTGGTGTTGTTTGATGTGATTTGAGGCTTCGAGTAGGTTCGTATTGTATTTTAGGACTTGTTGGTGTGTTTGGATGGGGTCCCAAGGGCTCCGGGGACGTTTCTTATGGTTGTCGGATGATGTTTTGGACTTGAGGAACTGCTGAATCTGTGCTTCTGGTTTCCTTCTTCGCAATCGCGAATATAGGGTCCTGATCGCGCAGAGTAATTTCAGGCAGGTGAGTCTTTGTTATTTTCATTCGTGAGCATATGGACGCGTTCGCGAAGCCTTGGGGTTTTTGTTCATCGCGAACGCGGGGTATCAGACGCGTTCGTGTAGAAGGAATGGAGGGCTTGAGGATGTCACGCATTTGTTCATCACGATCACGTGGTCAGGTCCGCGATCGCGTAGCTTTTGAGTGTTGGGCATCGCATTCGCGACTAGGCTGTCGCGTTCATGAAAGAGGAATGAGCGGCTGGTAATTTTTGTTCTTCGCGATCACGAAGAGTAATGACTGGGCAGACTGTTACAATCCCATTACGAGGATTAGAGTTATTATATCATATTTTGAGTTGTAGAGCTCGGTTTGGGCAATATTTGAGGGGATTTTCATGTCTTGAATCGGGGTAAGTATTTTTTACTCGGATTTGTTCATTTATCATGATTGCATCCTTATTCTTATCATTTATTTGGTGATTTGAAGTAGGAAAAATGGGGATTTTGTAGAAACTTTTCTATAATGAAATTTGGGGATTTGAAGGTCGATTTGGAGACGGAATTGAATTATTTTGGTATGGTTGGACTCATATCGAAATGGATATTTGGAATTTATGAGTTTGGCCGAGTCCCGGGGTATGGGCTCGGGATTGACTTTTAGATTTCGATAAAATTGAAACTTTATTGTTCGAAGGTATTTTCTACGACATTATTTGTTGATATTGAGTTGTTTGTGACTAGATTCAAATCGTTTGGAGGTCGATCAACATGGAAAGGGCTTGTTAGAGTATTGATTTGCGCGTTTTGAGGTAAGTAACACATCTAAACTTAGATTTGAGGGTATTTAACCCTGAAGACTACATTATATGAAAGATATTTGGGCGACGTACGCGCTAAGTGACAGGCGTATGTACGTGCACCGATGAGATCATAGCTTGGGGAGGCCTTTAGGTTATTACCGTGCTTGGTTTGCTATCATACCTTGTTATCCCCCGCGTTTCATCTACTTGTTTGGTTATTTGAATTGTGATTCATGTTAGACATCATGTCTAGGCTAAGTGCTAATTGTTTGAGACTTGATAGGGCTATTCTTGCTATTTCTGAGTTATATACCTTATTTGTACACATGTTCTCAGTCATGATACTATATCCGTATATGATATCTCTGTCTCAGTACTTCTTATTTGATTCCTCATATATTGTTGATACCGCTTAAGGGTAACACTGTTAAACTGAATATTTTGAGATGTGTTTATTTGAGACTTGAACGGTAAATGACTGAGTTTGGGCCATAGAGCCGGTTGGTATTTATTTTGAGGTGACGCGTACGCCAAGCCCATATTGGGATAAGTGTTATTGTTTTGGGGTGATGCGTACACCATGCCTCACTATTAGGCTAAATGATTATGATTAGCGCTTGGGCAGGATCCGCCCCGCCAGAGTCTGACATACCAACAGATATGTCGGGCACTTTTACATTGCTAAGTGTGAATATTTTGATGGATCCACTATGATATTTCGATTTGACATGTATACTTGATATGTTGGCATAGAGATGTACTTTCCTCATGCTAACTGATAAATGAAATGCTTTACCTATGTTGGGTTTTAACTGTTATACTTGAAAGCATGCCTAAATTCCTGTAATGTGAACAAGTTGAACATAATATTCTTGAGCTACCTGTCTCTACTAATTTTCCCTTTTATATTCTAAACTGTTACTCGTTATTGATATTGGCATCTGACTTTTGTTTCTGAGCTCGTCACTGCTTTTAACCCAAGGTTAGTATTACTTATTGAGTATATGGGGTCGGTTGTACTTATACTACACTCTGCACTTCGTGTGCAGATCCAGGTGCATAGTGATTTCCAAAGTTGAGTGGCTATTAGGTGTTGGGAGACTACGAGATAGCTGCTATGTCGTCCGTAATCCTTGAAGTTCTCTTTCAGTTATTTCTATCTTTACTGTTCTATTATTCAGACAATTGTATTTGAGGATTTTGCTTGTATCTTGTTATTCAATAGTACTCGTGTACTCGTTGATACCAGGTTTTTGGGATGGTTGCAGTACTATTTCAGTTATCTTTATCAGATATTTCATGATATTTTTTTATTGTTGAGTTATTAGACCATGTTTAATTGATTTCATTATTATTACGTGACTGTATGCTTACTTAGCGAGTTGGGGTTAGGTGCGATCAAGATTAGTGGATTTTGGATCGTGACATTTTGATAGCAAAAGCTTTATGATTCATACGTACAAATTTGCTTCTATTACCTATTTTCTAAATGTGTTGCTGTTTGTTAGCTACATTTGCTTTTTAGCTCAGCCATATGCATGTTCACTGTGAGTTTATCTATCATACATGTATAGAAAATACTAAATTAGGTCACGTAAAAGATAATTATAGATATTCATAATAAATAAAATTAGTAAGATGAAAAATCAAACAACCACTACAACACGTTATATTACACTCTTTACGTTTATTGTAATATATATAAGTAAATTAACTAACTGCAAATAAATGTCATCCATTGTTAGCTAGAGCAATATGATGGAAGCAATGACGTAAGAGTTGATCAAAGCAAGTTAAATCACTACTAAAAAACGCAAATTTCTTACGGACGTTCCGTAGGAAATTGGCTCATCGGGAAAGGAAACGTCGCCGACGAGCCAACGACTAATTTTGAGGTAAAAATATATTATTAAAAAATGAATAACGATAAATTATTTTTCCTGTTATTGAGAGAAAAGAGGGTGATTTGTTGAGTTTGTAATGAATATTCATCAATTCGATGCGATAGAGGACGGGATGTGTTATCCATTTCGTTACTCAGTTGGTAGAGGTCAAAAAGGGTGGATGCATTATATCAAGTAAGTCGGTTATAAGTGATTTAAAATTTATAATATATTTATATATCGTTTATGTAAAAACATATTACACAATATATATATAAACTTTAATGAAATTACATCCTAGAAGCTGGTTACTAGCTTCATCATGTTATACTACTCATCTTGAACTAGAAGAGACTTCAGTAAGGGCACTTGAATCAGAGCTCACAGAATCAGAAAAGCATGAGGAAGAAGTTCTATCATCACTTAAGTCTCTCCTCATAAAATCATAAGACAATATCGGCTCCGCTACTATTTCAACATGCTAAGCTTTGTAATCTTCAATACCCATTCCTAAGATTTCTTCATGACTTTGTTCATTTCTCTTCCTCAAAGATATATGACAAAGAACCCAGTTGCCAATCTGAACTAAGGAATTCTGCAGCCACAGAAGAAAAGGCAAATAACAATTTAAAATATGCCATATATCAACCGTGGCAGATTCAACAATGAGCTTATATAGGCAGAGTTAAATATACATGATATCTCAAAATTCATCCTATGAACTCAAAAACTTACAACGTATATATCATCATTTTAATCAAGAATATTACCTGAGGAGATTTCTTGAAATGATGAAAAATATAAAGAGTGGATTTATGGGAAGAACAAGACGATATTCATGCATGATCCAATCAGTTTTAAAGGCATGATGACTTTTTCGGCCTTTGTAGAAAACCAGAGTCTTTTTCATCCCAAGAACGGGCTTCCCTCTTGGACATGTAATTTGCTTGTCTAAACCGGGAGGCTTCCAGTAACCACTCACAGTTGCCCTATATATTCGTTTGATTTCCATTCCTGTATTTGGCTTCCTTGTTGCTGAAACAATATATGTCCTGCTCCACATCATCTACAATATCAAGTACATGTGCATCCTACATATTTGTCTAGTATATATCAACTCTCAATTTTGCTTAAAGGTTTTCAATTCAACTTTGCATAATTGCGAGTAATGACGAAATCAGAATTTTCACCGAAGGGTGTCAAAATATAAAGAAGTAAATACACGAAGAAATTAGCTGGCGTCAACATATAGTAATATATACATATAAAAATAAAATTTACCGACCTACACAGTGTAATTTTCCAATAAACAGGTGTCAGTTGACATGCCTTGGAATAAGGTGGCTCCGCCAGTGATTGCGAGTCCGCTCTTGAGAGCGAACTTCTCGGCTTGAGGTACTTTAGTGTACATGAATAGAAAATAAGAGGCTTATGGATATCATGGCGATGCTGCTTCATGTCAGGATCACTTGTGTGAGTTTGGGTGAAGACCAGAGTATTTTGGGAAAACCAGTAATGTCTTGAAATGGAATCAAGAGTAGTTTGAAGTTGAGTTGGTATAATAGTGGCTTGGACCAGTATTGTAATAGAAATGGTCGATTTCTTTGGTTTGGTCGAGTGCTACAGACACCTTATGAGACGGTTTTTGTATTTGACCATCTATGTGACTTGGTTGAGATTCAGTGCCAAAGGCTTAACTGTGTGAAAGTAAGCCCAAGTACTATGTTAATTTTTTGGGAAAGTTACACCGTATACCCTTTTAAAGAACCTTTAATACACTATGCTTCAATTATAAAATTACATGTAGTACACATCAATTAATTACCTCACATACCTATTTAGTTAAAGGACAATAACTACCTAATAAATATGTTCCCTAAATTAAAGGAAGCTATATACACAAAGCAAATCTACTCAAAATCGTATTCCATCCGTTTCAAACTTGGACTAAAATTAAAGAACAAAATTTTATCCATTAAACAATTTTTTTACTATGGGAACCTTTGTCGTTATAGAAGTTTATCTTCCTCTATATAATAAAAAAAAATACAGTAAACTAATCATTGTATACTATTAAAGAATGTTAAGATTCCAAATAAAATAATATATACACAATAAATATAAATAAAAGTATGTTTGATTTGAATATTGTATTTCAAATTAGAATATTGTGATATGTTTGATTTGAATACTATATTCCCAATTAGAATATTGCGATATGTTTGGTTTTGAATATTGTATTTCAAATTAGAATATTGTGATATGTTTGATTTGAATACTATATTCCAAATTAAAATATTATGGTATATTTGATTTGAATACTATATTCCCAATTAGAATATTGCGATATGTTTGGTTTTGAATATTGTATTCTTTATTAGAATATTATATTGTGTTGGTTTGAATACTATATTCTTCATTAATCAATTGTAATTTGGTATGTTTGGTTTGGATAATGTATCGATCACAAAAATACTTTGGTATGTTTGATTTGAATATTATATTCCAAATTAGAATAGTGTGATGTGTTTGATTTGAATATTGTAATTTTAATTAGAATATTGTGGTGTATTGGTTTGAATAGTATATTCTAATATTTCTGTAGTTTAGATATTGTATCCCAAATTAAAATATTTTTATCTTATTTTAACCTTTCTTTTGATTACATAGATGTAAGAGAAAAACAAAAAAGATGAAACACTTCATCTAACAAATAATTGGTAAAGAAGTAATATCTTGTACAAAACAAATGCTCCATTTTCATATTCTTCCTCCTTCTACACCCACATGCCATAAGAAAGAATAGAGAGAGCTGTTTATTTGGAACAAGAAATCATTGGGGTTCAGATATTTCGGTGAAAATGTATAATCCTAATAACTTGGGATGATGGAGTATTTTAAGGGATTTATCAAGTTGGAGTGAGAGATAATCTATTCCCTTAAAATGTGAGATTTGTTTAATGGCATATAATGATATTAAATATGTAAAAAATAAATAAAGTTTTATAAAATAGGTATAGAATGTAAAAAGAATATTTTAAATGTATATGGAGTTAACTGGTGTTTTCAATATGTATACCGCGTAGATTCCCCTAATTGTTTTTAAAGGATTTAAGTTATATATACTGAAAGTGCAAACATCTTTTATATAATTTGTATACTTTTTGTGATGATCCAAAAATGTCATCTTTAATTTAAACGTTCATTTCTGTGTTCTATGAAGATGTTGAGAGCTTACCTACTATGAGTTACGTATCACTTGAATAGTTGATGTTAGTGGCGTTCCTTTTCTAGTAATATATTGCTTATGAGACCACTGTTAGTATTGTTTTCATGTTGTGTTACGTTAATTGGATTATGTATGTGTTGTTAGGATTGGTTTCTGGGATTCTCTGGCAGGTGGATAGGCCCAGTTACAAAGAAAATTTTGACAAAAGTTTTGAAAATTTTGGGAGTTAGTAAAAATTCAGGAAATTGAAATGGGTAAAAGAAGAGATAAGTTATGTTATGTGTTTGGGGGCGGACTCTACTTCTTATTTGAGGACTATTAATATGATGGATATCAATTGGATATGATAATAAGTGTACGAGACATATTATAAGTGATGTGGGGTCTAAGGAGAGGCCTAAGTGTAAGTCAAGTTGGAAAATTTCATAATAGACTAAAGTTTCAAATGAGTACGCACAAGACCAAAATTTGAACGAGCATATCTACATATATATGTGATGGAAAACTTATCAAATGAAATATTTTCGAGTCTAGTTTCTAACACTTCAAACTGTTCGTCATTTGGACACTCCTACAAGAAGTTATGACCAAATTACCAAAAGCTGGCAGAATGTGATTCTGCGGCCAATTGTGCGACCGTAGAATCATTGTGCGAACCGCAAAAATGGTGCGGTCCATTTTTGCAACCCGCATACCCATTGTGCGGTCCATTGTGCGACCGCAGGCCTGAGTTCGGAGGGTCCATTTTTTTGTTTTCATAACTCGACCATATTTTGATAAATAGGCTTTGGGGCTTATTTTGGGGAAATTATTTGACAATTTTAGAGAGAAGTGAGAGTGTTCTAGAGATAGGAAGAAGCTCAGGTTCTTTGTTCATCAAATATCTTGTTCAAGATTTGAAATCCAATAAGGAAATATCACAAGATCTTCACCCAAGAGGTAAAGTTCTAACCCCCTAGTCTTCAATTTCGAGTTTGGGTAAAGATGGGTGATTGGGAGTGTGATTCTTGGATGTGAGAGTATTAGTTATACATGCTTGTACCAATAAGCTTGTGGAAAGATTGTTGAGTTCAAATGGGTAAAGATTGGGTTGAAAATGGTAGAAATCTTCAAAGAATTTAATTGAGGATTTGAAAGGCAATCCTATATCGGAATTCGATAATTTTTGTATGGTTGAACTCGTACCGGAACGAGTATTCGGATTTTGTGAGTTTTTCAAGGATTCGAGATGTGGGTCCTACTGTTGAATTTTAAAATAAATTTCATATTTTAATCCGGAAAATTTATAATTTCATATGGAATTAGTTTCTACGATTCGTGTTGAGTATGTTGAATTGTTTGTGATTAGATTTGAAGCTTTCAGACATGAATTCGCAAGGCAAAGGTTTATTGGAATCTTGAATTTAGTTGCAAAGAGAGGTAAGTGTCGTGATTAGCCTTGACTTGAAGGAATAGAACCCTTGAATTATTTGTTATGTGAAATTCATGTGAACGATGTATAGACGAGGTGATGAGTGTCTATACGTCGTCAAATTAATTGTTTGCATAATTATCTAAAAATCATAAATTATTTTAAATCACAAATTAATCATTATATTAATTATTTATCTCATATTCCTTGCTCAATATTATGCCTTGAATCCATGCTTTGATTGCTATATGCTTATTTGATTTGTGTGACTTAATTGCTACTTGACATTTAGCATACTAAATATTAAATTACATATTTCCTCCTTAATTTTCATAATTAATTACTACTTGTCATCACTTGTTTCCTAATTAAATCATAATTATTGTATGCTTGTTGTCTTATAATTTCATATTAATTGTTGTATTTATTGAAATAATTTCTTTTATAAGAATTGGTAAATTATATTATTTGAGGAGCGAGTTGCACGCCGCAACAGAAATGAAGGTGAATATATTGGAGGAGCGGATTGCACGCCGCAACAAAATTGATTGAAATGAATATATTGGAGGAGCGGGTTGCACGCCGCAATAAAATTGATTGAAAAGACATATTGAGGATCGAGTTGTACGCCGCAACATGATTAAATAAAAATGAATATATTGTGGGATCGGGTTACACGCCGCAATTGAAACTGATTGAAATAATAATTGGTTATGACTGCCGAGTTGGCTTTAACTGTTGAATTGAGTTACCTATTTTATTTCTATTATTGTTGTTATTATTATTGTTGTGTATAGGTTAATGTAAGTGATCCGCCTTAGCCTCGTCACTACTTCGTCGAGGTTAGGCTCGGCTTTTCTTGGGTACATGGGGTCGGTTGTACTCATACTACACTCTGCACTTCTTGTGCAGATACCGGAGTTGATCCTAGCGGCGTACAGTAGATTTGCTCGGATTCAGCTATTCGTAGGAGACTTGAGGTATAACTGCATGGCGTTCACAGTTCTGAAGTCCCCTTCCACTTTATCGTAGTTGTGTATTTCTTTCAGACAGCTTCATTTTCATTTAGACCTTCATTTGTGTTATTCTAGTAGCTCGTGCACTTGTGACACCAGTTCTGAGATGGTATTTAGACATCGCTATTATTATGGATTATTCACTTTATTTCAGACTTTATTTTCGCATTTGTTTCTTTATTATTAATTAATTTAAAATTATTTTAAAATAGCTAATATTATTCTAACGTTGGCTTGCCTAGTAAGTGAAATGTTAAGCGCCATCACGGTCCCGAAGGTGGGAATTTCGGATCGTGATAGTTGGTATCAGAGCACTAGGTTACATATGTCTCACGAGTCACGAGCAAGCATAGTAGAGTTTGAAGGATCGGTATGGAGATGTCTGTACTTATCTTCCAGAGGCTATGGAGTTAGGAACAATTTCACTTTTATTCTACTCTGTCGTGCGACTTTATTCTATCATTGACGATTGAACTCTTCTATTCTTGTCCTCTCGCAGATGGTGAGAACATGCATTACGTCTACAGCCGGACATGAGCCAGAGCCCCCAGTGACAGCTATGACTAGGGGCAGAGGCCGAGGCCGAGGTCGAGGTCGCGCTAGAGGCCGAGGTAGGGGCAGAGGCAGGGCTCAATCTAGAGCTCGAGCAGCAACACCTGTTCTAGAAAATCAGGTGGATTTAGGAGCGGAGGTTCCGACGCAAACGGTACCTGTTGGAACAGTATAGGTTCCGGAAGGATTCATAGCTACTCCAATACTGCAGGACGCACTAGTTCGTTTGGTGAGTCTTATGGAGGGTGTGATCCAGAATGATACATTTTCAGTGGTACCAGCCATCTCACAGGCTGGGGGAGGAGCACAAACTCCCACTACTCCCGCTCCGGAACAGATAGCTTCCCAAAATCAGGTTCCAGTAGCTCATCCAGTTGGGGTAGTTCAACCAGTTATTGTGGCACAGGCTGGTGATAGGCCTTCTTTGCTGAGATTGGACAAGTTTACCAAGCTATTTCCA